AGGACCAGTGGTGTGAGTGGCGATACTGGGAGGGCGGAGGGTGGGGTGGAAAGGGGGAACCGATCACAAGGATCTACATATAACCTCCTCCCTCGGGGATCAACACAGAAGTGGGTGAAGGGGGACATCGGACAGTGGAAGATATGGCTGAGGGTCATAACAGGCTGACATCACCGTGTCACCCAGCTGCGTCCAACCTCGGTTTGAGGAATGTCTTTTCTGATTTCACCGGAGGCTCCATTTCTGTCCAGAGGGGAGACTTGCACCGGATTCAGGGTTTCTGCCCTCTTTCATCTAACCCTTCTGTCAAATCACGAACTGTCAGGGCACCTGATTCCCAAATAAGACGGTGATGGCCCCTGAACTTGAGATGGTGGGTGGTAGGTAGTGCCATTTCTAACAGAATTTAGTGAGTCCTAAAAACATAGAACTGGCTTTTAAAATCCATGATTTTATGGCGGGTTCAAGGATAAAGACTTTGTAACTTTATTTTAGTTGGTTTTAGAAGAATATTAAACAATGCATGTGGCCAGAATGTGGCGAAAATCATGTTGGCGCCATTCCGTTTTGGCAACATTGGCATATATGGGAAGTAACTGGAAGCTCGTACAGAATGGACTAATGGCTTCTGTGTGTGCCGAGTACGTTACGCTACGCGTACCACGCTCCCGGAACAACAGTGCGTGGTCACCACAGAAACCCACCACGACACCAGCCGCAACATTGCGACAGTCGCCGTAAAGCACGCCTCACGTCGCACTCGGGCTGGTGGGGGACAGGGGAGGCGCGTGCAAGAGGATGTGGGTGGAGCCCTTGAGAGGCGTGGCCAGCCTACCTGCGGCGTGCGGGGCGGGGCTGGCGAGGGGCGGGTCCTCACAGCGGAAGGCGGAAGCGGCTTCCAGTCACGTGATACGAATAGCATGGCCGCTATACCTTGAGCACTGCCGGGCGGGAACGGGTCGCGTGAGCCGTTAGGTGGCCGGAGCAGGTGTGCCGAGGCGGCGTTCGGGCTCACGTTCGGTGGTAGCACGCGGCGGCCGCGCGTGGCAGGAAGGCCTGGGGCGGTGTAGCCCATGAGCCGGCTCCGGGGGCAGCACGGAGCCGCAGACTCCACTGGCCACAACGCTGCCCGAGCAGCCGCAGGCTGAGGAGTCGCGGGGCTCCGGGGCGAGCCCCAACCTGCTACCATGAATCCCGAGAAGGACTTCACGCCGCTCACGCCCAACATCGTGCGTGCTCTCAATGACAAGCTGTACGAAAAGCGGAAGGTGGCAGCGCTGGAGATCGAGAAGTAAGTGCCACGGGTACCGCGGGGTCGAACCCCTCCCCCCGGCCCCCTCCCCACCCAGTTGGCAAGCCCCTCGCCGCTTTGCTGCCTGGGGTGGCCTCTCCTCACCCCTTCCTAGCCACTGTTGCTTTTCTTTTTGACTTGGGTTTCAGGCAGTTAGCACAGTGCTCCAGAGCGGCTTAGGAGCCATATCTGGGTTCGAGTCCCAGATTTGCTTCCGACTGGCTGTGTGACATGGACAAAGTTCTCTAACCTCCTGGTGTCTGTCGTAAGGGCTCAGTGACAAGGAAGTGACTGACTGAGTGCTTGGTTATCACTGTGTCTGGCGCGTAGTGTTCTCCATTAAAACTAGCAGCAAATCGCCCGAGTGCTTCTTTAAGAGCAGAGATGTGAGCATCTATTATAGTGATGCCGACCGGCCTGGTTTCATACCCAGTTCCTGGATTGAGAAGGAACTGTTTCCTGACCTACGGAAAAAGTCATTCCGAAACTTTGTGATCTTAAGCTCAGAAGCTGGTTTTGTTTTTCCTGCCACATCGCCTTTCCTTTCCAGTCAAAGGAGGCGTAATCTGACTTCTAACTTCTGCGGTTTTATTGCATGCTTGTGCTAACCATGATCTGACATTTGCTTAATTCCCCAAAGTAGAAAATAGGTGCATCATAGGGAATGCTTGATTAGGACTTTGTTGCTACTATTGTTACTAATTTACTTAGGTGCTTTTTGCCAAGGAAATCTGGGTAAGAAAGTCACAGGAGTCGGCCTTAACACTGTTCTTGAAGAATAGAAAGATGCAGGCTATGTAGCTCAGGAGTCAGGGTATATAGTTTTGCCCTGGCCTGGAGGACACTGACCGTGTGTGACTATTTAGATTTAAATTGTTAATGATTAAGTAAGATTGTAAAATCGAGTTCCTTTGTCCCATGTGGATGCTGTTAGTGTAATTGCAGTTGCGTTCTCTCCCATACGTGGCAACTTTACACAACAAAATAGCGCAGCCTCCTGAGCCATTTTCATGATTGTTGATGTTTGAATCATTTTTGCAAATGTTATGTTGGTCCGTACCTTAGACCCCCAAACTTGTTTGGTCTATACCCCCTTTTCAGAAAAAACTATTTTAGCCC